AATAAAGACTTTGGAGATGAGCAGAACTAGGTTCAAATTCTATCTCTCATGAGTGGTGTAACTCTCAGTTGCTTCATCTATATAAAGGGGATAATAATAGTAATAATCTGTAGAAAGGGAATAATAATAATAATAGAGATGCTGTGGAGATTATATGAAATGACCTAAGTAATATATACCTTGTGTGTTCTAATACCAACTAGAGTATAAGCATCATGAGATCAGCAGCTTTGAATGTTTTGTTCACTGCTGTATCTCAGGGCCCAGAACACTGGCTGGCCCATAATAGATGCTGAGTCAATAGCTGCTGATGGAATGGGGAATGCACGGCAGCTGTGGCTGTTGTGATATCACTGACAATTAGCCAAGTGTGTGGGCATAATGATGTCATCAACTTTGGCCATTTCCATTGATATCCATGGTATAGAGAACCACCAAACCAAAGAGACGAATATCTTGCAGAAAAGTATTTATGCTACCTAAATATTTAGGCTACCAGGTACTGAGTTTGGCCAAGGATGTAGATCACTAAACTGTGGAGTAAGTGTCTAGAAATACATTGGAGTCACTGGAAATGAAGCCATTCAATAGTTGCTCTTGTAATAGTCCCCACTTATCCATAGTTTCTCTTTCTGTGGTTTCAGTTACCTGTGGTCAACTGCAGTCCAAAAATATTAATATTTGCTAATCTTTCAAGAGAGACAGACCACAGTCACATAATTTGTATTGCAGAAAATTGCTATATTATCCTATTTTATTATTGTTGTTTTTCTCTTACTGTGCCTAATTTATAAGTTAAACTTTAGCATTTGAATATATATATATATATATATGCAGCTCACTGCACAAAAGCTAAGACATGGAAATCAACCTAAATGCCAGTCAACTGAAGACTGGATTAACAAATCATGGATATGTACTCTACTGAATACTACACAGCAATAAAAAAAAAAAGAAATTTTGTCATTTGCAACAAAATGGATAAATCTGGAAAACATCATACTTAGTGAAATAAGCCAGTCCCAAAGGAACAAACACCATATGTTTTCCATGATCTGTGATAACTAATAGAGTACCTAAAAGGAAATCATAGAAGTGAAATTGACACTTTGAGAAGCAATGACTTGAACAGCCCTTGTCTTGACTGTCAAGGAACAGTTTTTTTTTTTCCTCTTCTTCTTACTATTTGTTGAACTCTTTACTTAACATAGAGTTAAGTATGTGTATAAAGTCAATTAAAAATAGATCTCAGTAAAAATAAGAGTGGGAATAAGAGATGGAAGAGGAAATTTGTAACTGTAAAACTGTATAGTTCTGCATGCATTTCTACAGACTTACTTCTTAGGGTACAATTTAAAAGTTTGCTGAGGGACCCAAAATCCTAATAAGCTGGGTGGTAAAAATGCCATCTTAGGTGTTAAAGTGACCATATTAAGTGTTAAAGTTATCATATAGATCGGATTAAGTGTCAAAAGGATCATAGAAATAAGATCAAATGCCTGGTAATAATGATAGATAGAATTAAAAAAGAGAGCCGGCACCGCAGCTCAATAGGCTAATCCTCTGCCTTGCGGTGCCAGCACACCGGGTTCTAGTCCCGGTCCGGGCGCCGGATTCTGTCCCGGTTGCCCCTCTTCCAGGCCAGCTCTCTGCTGTGGCCCAGGAGTGCAGTGGAGGATGGCCCAAGTGCTTGGGCCCTGCACCCCATGGGAGACCAGGAGAAGCACCTGGCTCCTGGCTTTGGATCAGCGTGGTGCAGCGGCTGCAGCATGCCGGCTGTGGCGGCCATTAGAGAGTGAACCAACGGTAAAGGAAGACCTTTCTCTCTGTCTCTCTCTCTCTCACTATCCACTCTGCTTGTCAAAAATAAAAAAAAAAAATTAAAAAAGAGAGAATATGGAAGCAGTCCACACAGTAGACTCACAGAACAACAATCTCTTTAAATAGCACTCTGATCTCAGAACCAGCCCTTAAGGCATTCTGGTTTGGCTGAAAAGCCCATGAGAGCATTTCAGGCATGGAAAGCCAAGCCATTGTGGCAAAAAATATCCTATATGAAGGATCTCTGTGAGAAAGACTCCAGTGGAAATAAGTGGCCATCAAAGAAGGATGTACTTTTCTCTTAAGTGAAGAGAGAACTTCCACTTTGCTCACTGCCTTGTCTAAATACTGACAGAGATTGTGGATTCAAAAGGCTTCCATAGCCTTGGCAGCTCATGCTAAGAGCCTCGGGTGATCACTGATGTCATACATAAGAGTGTTAATTGTTAAATTAACAACAGGAGTCACTGTGCACGTACTTCCTATGCAGGACTTCTGTCCTCAATGTGTTCTACTATGAGAATTAACTGTAAAATTTGTTCTTAAACAGTTTTGTGTGTATGTATGTAGTGCAAATTGTTGGAATCTTTACTTAGTATAGAGTTTGTCTCCTGTGTACAAAGTTATTTGAAAATGAATCTTAATGGAGAATGAGACTGAGAATGGGAGAGGGAGACAGAGGTGGAGTAGGAATGGGAGTGGGAGGGTGGGTATGGTGGGAAGAATCACTATATTCCTAAACTTATACTTATGAAATTTATACTCATAAATGAAAGGTCTCTTTGGGAAAAACAAAAACAGAATATATATGTATTATATATAGTGTATGTGTGTGTGTTCCTATATATATAGGAATATATATATATATATATATATATAAACACACACACACAGGAATACATACATATACACACTATATAAAGGCACACTACATACAGGGTTTGTTGGAAGATATCCCCCTCAGGTAAGAGGGCACTATATATTGGGCATAGTAAACCTCTGTAGCATGATGCTGCTGGAATTACTCAATTGATTGATCATCTTTTCTTCCATCTTTTTAGATTAATCCTACCATATGAAAGGTTTATTAAGGGAGAGGAAGATAAACCCCTGCCTCCAATTAAACCTCGGAAACAGGAGAACAGTTCGCAGGAAAATGACAATAAGACAAAGGTGTCAGGAACCAAACGCATCAAACATGAAATGCCTAAGAGCAAGAAAGAGAAAGAGAATGCCCCGAAGCCCCAGGATGCATCAGAGGTGAGTTGCTGCCCTTTGCAGAAATGTCCCCGTGAGGCACGTGCCGCCTCGAGGTCTTCTGCGAGCTGAAGCCACAGTTATGTCCCTGCCCGATTCTTCCCTGGACCAAGACAGTCAAAAAATCTCAGCTTCACAATCCCCCAGCTCCCAAAAACCTTTGCATTTGCTCTGGAGCTAACTGCAATACTGGCATAGAATGGGATGGGCCAAGAAGACACTCTAGGAAGACTTGCGCATCCTGTAGAAAACTCACAGCAAATGCTCAAACTTGGAGATGGAGCTCAAGGCCTTCCAGAAGGAGGCTTCTGGCCATTTCCCAGCCAGTCTATCTGAGGGGTGGTTCTGACTTTAAAACACGCCTGGGGCAGGGTCAAGGGATTGGGGAGGGCTGTTGAAATCCACGATGTGTCTTTGCAGGACTCTCCCAAAAACTTGAGAGAAGTGTTTCCCTCCCATAATTGACCTCTGTGCAAAAGCCTTGGGTTGAGACCAATTTAGAAATATCTAAGTACATATTCTTTATAGGGGAATTTGGAAATGGTTCCTCTGAAACCATTATTATCTCTCATATTAACAGGTAGTTTCTGAACCTTTTAAAACAAGCTCAAGCTACCCACAGCCCCCAGCAGCTCTTTGCTAGAGACCATTCCCGTCTGTGCATGGCCAGTCATGGCGGCTGATCTGGGCTCTGTTTCAACATGAATCATAAAAAATACCCTGCTGCCCATAAAAAATCTTAGCAGCCACATTTGGAGACAGTGTGTTCTAGGATTCAACCCCAGAGGGAATTTTGGTGCTGATATTAAACACCCTCTAAAAATCAGGTTTATAATGAACACATAAGAGACTCCCTAATTAAACACTGACTTAAAACACACACACACACACACACACACACACACACACATATACACATCTCCTAACTAGTCATTAACTTGCCCAACTGACTCTATAGAAGAAATTAATATGCTTAGAGGAGGAATTTGTTTTTTATTTTTATTTTTAAGTTTTATAATTATTTTAAGCTCTAGTAATTAAAGTGGAGGGGGGAGAAGATGACACAGATTTCTAAACATCTGCAAGCTTGCAACATAAATGGCCAAAAGCAAGGAAATTCCAAGTTAAGGCTCACATTCCATTCGTCCTTTAGTCCTTTATCCTGTTGGCCTGGTGATTTATTATCGGGTTTCGGATCAGGGAGTTCTATGAGATACCATATGGACAGCATTGCCCAAGCACCAGGGGACAAGCTGCGGACCAAGGGGCCAACTGACCTCTGAATTGCTCCACTTTAGAGATGAAGTTTGAAACCACTGGTTTGCGAGTTGGAGGAGGAATCATCAGCCTGTGTACTGAGATCGTTAGCTTGGAATATGACCATTCCCAAGAGTAAGCCCCAGGGAAGCTGTTAGACCCCAACTGCGTCCTTCCGAGAGCTGTGTCTTAGGTTGCAAAGACTATAGTGGTCAGTTTCTCTAAACTGTATGGGATCTCTCATACTCCCAAGGTTGAACTTACAATCATAGTCACTTCCCATTCTCCATGTAGACCATCCATGTTATAGACCAGGTATATTTCTTCCCATTGACTGTATTTGGAGTTTATTGTTGTCATCGTTATTTTCATTGTTTTTAATTTTTTCATGTTTTCAATATGAAGCAAAGAACTTAGGGATAAGAGGGGTGGTAAATTCCTTATGGTCAAATTCACTATCTGCAGGTAATTGGATTACAAACTGCATGGTAGGAAGGTACCATTGAACATCCTAAAGCGGGCCATAAAATGTATCTTTGAAAAAGCACCACTAACCGTTTTCTGCCTAGCACTCAAAAGTCCCCTAAACTTATTCTGTGACCAGAAGCATATGAGTCTGATATAACCAGAATACTGGGTATGCAAGCTTCAGTGATTCTTATTCCCCATACCCTGACTTCAAACTACGGCCCCATCCAAAGTGAACGATTAAATGCAATTTGCCCTTTTCCCTTGTCAACTAATTTTTCTGTTTTTATGTAATGTATAAGCTCAAGAGACCAATGATGATTACTAATGTAGAACAAGTAATGACATTTGTACTGGAAAAGGTAGCTATTAGTATTTTTTTAAAGAAATAAAAATGATAAGCAAAGGCTCTTAGATACAGCATATCCCTGAAAGGCAGGAATAGCTTTAAGTGGATTTAAGGAGAAATGTTTATGAAATGGGTGTGATTCCTTAACATTTTTGTTTCATGTATCACTCAACCAGTATTCTCAGTCTTGCCCAAAGATACTGTTGTGGTTGATATTTCTTTTCTTAGCAGAGAAGAGCAAAGTTTAAGCGATGAGTTTTGAAGGCAGGGGGCAGGGAACCAGTTCAGTACAAGTGTTTGTTACTGTCCTCCTACAACATGTCAGGACAGAATGACAGCAATTTTGAAAGGGCTTCTCAGCCAGCTGGGTCGCAGGTGGAAAGTTAAAGTGACCTGTTAAGGTCAGAGTTTACATGACTTCATAATGCAATAAATGGGTTGAATTGTGCCCCAAATTCTGCCAACAGGGACACAAAGGGTGTCCATCTCATTGACCATCATTTACTTCGATGAACAGAAATGTTCTATTATGGTGGCACGCACCACCTGAATTTTGACAACTGCATTTTTGGCTGAGATAGAAATGTCATCTGCTGGGGCTCAGAAGGCCGAGAGTCTGCTCTGTCCCTCAGGTGGACAGGCGTTGCATACTTGTCCATATTTTGGCATTCTCAGCATGTCACGTGCCACTGAGTGGAAATGGTTACCACTGAAGCATCATCGCTCATTTCCAAGGCATCCTATCGAGCATCTTAGGGAGGGATGTGTCCTCTCAGAGAAAGGCAAGGTGTTACAGTCAGTGTGTTGTTTGTGGTCGGCATGGGGTTGGTTGGATTTTTGAAAGAGAGATGCTTAAAAAAAAATCTTTCTCAGGAGTGTCATAAAACACAACGTGTAATTTAAAACCCATTTGGATAATTGACTGATTTGACAAGAAGACAACCTTAGAATTTAACTATATATTAGAATCAAGGAGCGATATGATTGTGCACCGTCAGAACATAACACTTAGCTATTTTGATCGGTGTCTCATAAGGGACTGAAGTGAATATGCATACTTCCCCTAATGTTTCTGTAATTTAGATTTCTTTGTTTAGAGGCGTGATTGGGGAGTAATAAAGCTCCACAAAAACTCCATGAGCTGATTGACAAGCCTGTTTTCAAGGAAAAAAAAAAACTGCCGTGTGTAATATTTTATTTCATAGCAAAACATGTCAGTGTGTTTGGTTTTCATCTGACTGTCTTTTGAAATATTTGATCAGGTTTCTGCGGAACAAGAGAAAGAGCATGAGACTTTAAACCAGAAAAACGTCACAGACCCTCTCCCAGCCACAGACGTGAAGAAAAAAGTGGACGGGTACCAGGAGGTTGTGGCGAGGCCTCTGGGATCCAGAGCAGACCCAGAAAAGGACAGTGAGACAGACCAAGGCTCTCACAGCGAGAAGGAGGCCGAGGAGTCAGGAGAGAAGGCGCCTGCGCCTCTGCTTCCAGATGCTCCCCTGGCCCCTGAAAGGGACCCGGCCGCGAAGCTCGGAGCTGGCAAACAGCCCCTCACTCCTCCCAGCGCCCTGGTAGACTCAAAGCAAGAATCTAAACCCTGCTGTTTCACAGAGAGCCCTGAAAGCGACCTCCCCGAAGCCCCCTTTCCCAGCTTCCCCCCGACACAGCCCCCGGCGGCAAGCCAGAGTGAGGCGGACGAGGACAAACTCCCAGCCATGGCCGATTACATCGCCAACTGCACCGTGAAGGTGGACCAGCTGGGCAGCGACGACATCCACAACGCACTCAAGCAGACCCCGAAGGTCCTCGTGGTCCAGTCGTTCGACATGTTCAAGGACAAAGACCTGACGGGGCCGCTGAATGAGAACCATGGACTGAATTACACGCCCTTGCTGTACTCCAGGGGCAACCCGGGCATCATGTCCCCCCTGGCCAAGAAGAAGCTTCTGTCCCAAGTGAGTGGGGCCGGCCTCTCCAGCAGCTACCCCTACGGCTCCCCACCCCCCTTGATCAGCAAAAAGAAACTCATAGCCCGGGACGACCTGTGTTCCGGTTTGTCCCAGACCCACCACAGCCAAAGCACTGAGCACATGGCGGTGAGTCGGCCGTCGGTGATTCAGCACGTGCAGAGTTTCAAGGGCAAGCCCTCGGAGGAGAGGAAGAGCATCAATGACATTTTCAAGCACGACAAACTGGGTCGTGCCGACGCCCACCGCTGCAGCTTTTCCAAGCATCATCACCTTAACTCCCTGGCTGACTCCTACATCCTGAAGCAAGAAATGCAGGAGGGCAAGGATAAACTCTTAGAGAAAAGGGCACTCCCCCACTCGCACATGCCCAGCTTCCTGGCAGACTTCTACTCCTCCCCTCACCTCCACAGCCTCTACAGACACACCGAGCACCACCTCCACAACGAGCAGCCGTCCAAGTACCCCTCCCGGGACATGTACAGGGAATCGGAAAACAATTCGTTTCCTTCCCACAAACACCAAGAGAAGCTCCATGTCAATTATCTCGCCTCCCTGCACCTGCAAGACAAGAAGGTGGCCGCGGCGGACGCCCCCACGGATGATCAGCCAACGGATCTGAGCCTTCCCAAGAATCCGCACAAACCCACCGGCAAGGTGCTGGGTCTGGCCCACTCGGCCCCGGGGCCCCAGGAGAGCAAAGGCATGCCCCAGTTCCACGTCATAAGCAGCCAGAGTCGAGACTGTCACCCGAAAGCCTGCCGGGTCTCGCCTATGACCATGTCGGCCCCCAAGAAGTACCCCGAGTCGCTTTCGCGGTCCGGGAAGCCTCACCACGTGAGACTGGAGAATTTCCGAAAGATGGAAGGCATGGTCCACCCTATCCTGCACCGGAAGATGAGCCCTCAGAACATAGGCGCGGCGCGGCCCATCAAGCGCAGCCTGGAGGATTTGGACCTGGTGATTGCCGGGAAAAAAGCCCGGGCCGTGTCTCCGCTGGACCCGTCCAAGGAGGTCTCTGGGAAGGAGAAGGCCTCTGAGCAGGAGAGCGAAGGCAGCAAGGCAGCGTACGGTGGGCATTCGGGGGGCGGATCGGAGGGCCACAAGCTGCCCCTCTCCTCCCCGATCTTCCCAGGTTTGTATTCTGGGAGCCTGTGTAACTCGGGCCTCAACTCCAGGCTCCCAGCTGGGTATTCTCATTCTCTGCAGTACTTGAAAAACCAGACTGTGCTTTCTCCACTCATGCAGCCCCTGGCTTTCCACTCGCTTGTGATGCAAAGAGGCATTTTTACATCGCCCACAAATTCTCAGCAGCTCTACAGACACCTGGCTGCGGCCACGCCGGTAGGAAGTTCGTACGGGGACCTTTTGCACAACAGCATTTACCCTTTAGCTGCTATCAATCCTCAAGCTGCCTTCCCGTCTTCCCAGCTGTCGTCCGTACACCCCAGCACAAAACTGTAGGCCTGGCTCTGCCCTGCGTCCCAGGACGGCCTGGCTGCCGGAGCTGCACCCCTTTGCCCTGGGGCGGGCGGCTCATAGAGTTAGAAGTCAGTATTTCTTCTAATCTGGGGGTACGATGAGTCCCAGCCACAGAGGCCGAGATGGGAGGTGAAGATGCCTGAGTCTTCTGGGACAGCTCTGGCCTCGGCTGGTCAGTGTCGACCCCCCTCCCCCCTTGCTACTCGGATGCCCTGGCACCTCCGGATCATTCACTTTGCCTGTGGGTCTTCTGAAGGGGTTTATGTATATCCAGGAAGAACTGAGAGGGCCCGGTCTGAGTTTGGATGGTCAGGAAACAATCTGGGCTAAACCAAGGGGGCCGGCTTTTCAGAGGAAGGGGCAAGGAAGCTGGCAGAGCCATGCCAAGGGATGCCCCCCACTCTTTTCACAAAACTCTCCAAGGTTCAATCAATGCAATGTATAGTGAAACTTCAAGAGATCTTTCATTTTGACACTATTCAACAATCCAGAGAAGTAAACACTGTTAAATTGACTGTATATATTTGCTTCTTAAAACTACCCGGATCACTGTTTGCTCACCTAATTTATATACAGGTCGTTCCATTTTCTCCCGGTTCCTCCTTGTCCTTTTTTTTTTATTTTAATTAAACAGTACAGCTTTTGTTTGCAGGTCTTTTTGTTTTGTTTTGTTTTGTTTGTTTTAAAGGCTGACTGACTGTCCTCGGTGTTGATGTGTGTTTGTAATTTTGCCACATCTTATCATTTTGAGCAGCTTTGGGTGGTAAAGTTATTGTTTACAAATTGAAGCAACTGATTCTAGTGGAACAAATGAAAGAGAAGCAGCCGAGCACACAGTTGTGCAAAGAACGTTCCTTTGCCGACCCGCAACTTACGGATTTTGTTCCTCATAAATGGCATAGTTGAAAGAGCTTAGACACTGCTTACCCGGCCAAATGCTTTGCTTTGAAGTATTGGGTTATGTGAAAATATTGAGCATTGTACTTACCTTATCTAGGCTGTGAAACTGCCCTACATACCAGAGGAATCATAAAAACAAAACTTCGCTGGCAGCAGGCTGCTGAATAACAAGAGTCTAGAGGACATATTTGTGGGCTGCACAGATATCTTAGGAATTTCAGAAATTAGAACAGGAGCCAAACTGATTGACATTGGTGTTGGCCCTGATCCCTTTAAATGGCCTGGGAAAGGGGGCTGGGAAGAGGGTACAGCTCGGCTGTCCAGCAGAGAAGGAGCAGCTGAGGGCCTGGCAGCCTTGGAGCTTTGCTGGGTGGCCACAGTGTCTCCATCAACTTGATTTCTTGTCATTCCCAAGAAGAATCTCCCAGGCCACTTCTTTGGGGATAACTGGCATACTAGGCTATCCGTTTCAAAAGGAAGTCATCCTCTTTGGGATTATGAGCCTGAGCGGTGAGTGTGTCCATGCACACAGGGTGGTTTGGCTCATGTTTTTAATCACCTGAAAATATTGTCCGCATTATGATTTCTTTTGTTGTTGGAAATCAATGGTCAGGCTGTTGAAGCAGCTGGAAGGTGTGGAGAATGTCTACAGTCGTTCTTCCACTCTATACCATTTGCTGCCAAGGTGTAATATCAAAGTGGATGCATTTTCTAGGTGTCTCAAAAATCGACCAACACAGAGAGTGGATTTTGTTCCCAAGTCCCATCCCTGCTGAAGGTTGCTTTAATGAACTCCCCGGCCCACCGTTCCCATCCCCCAACACTACTAGTAGGCTTTAGGACCATAGTTAACCAAGTCTTTTACCTCTGAGATATTTAATTCTACAAAAACTGATGACAATTTTCAACTTCTAAATAGGTAACTCACTGCAAAGTACTCTAAACTGGTAACAATGAAACTGCGGCTCTTACACAAAGCCATGCATGTCGTGCATTTGTATTGAAATGTCTCCATGATATGAAGCCAAATATTCCATGTAACATATTTAATATCCAAAGTTGGAAACAAAAGAATGTAGAGATCCAGTGTTAAGAGTTCCATTTGCTTCAATTAATTATTTACCTTCCTGTGGAATAATATATATATATATATATTTAATAGAACCATAGATAGACTAGTAGAATTTAGATTATAAATGTGTGAGTGCAGATTATCCTGCTATTGCACAAGATAGAGGGGGTGGAAAAAAAAAATCTCAATTCCAGCAGGCAAAATGCTGGCCAGGACACACAGAAGAAAGTTGCACTAGACTGAATGGTCATAGAACCAGAGGACATGGACAGGAAACAAAACTCCTGTGCTTCTGCAGCAGACATGGGCTAGATGGTACTACATGGTTTCTATGAGTTTGTTTCTCAAAAAAAAAAAAAAAAAAAAATGGGGGGTGTCTGTTCCCCAGTGGAGCTCACCTATTCATTTGGAAGATGGGGCATTTGTTTTCCTCACTGCCATGATTTTAGTCTGTTTCATCATGTTGGAATTTGATCACACCATTTTCAAACAATGTTAACATAGTGCAGCTTTTGTTTTTCTCATCTCTTCTGAGAGAAGACTCACTGTTTCTGTCTGAGGGAGCTCATACCCTCAGCAAAACATCAGGACAAATAAAGAGAAACGGGTATACGTCCCGGACAGAAGCAGTGTGTTATTTGTTTTAAAACTCTGAACAGAGATCTTGGAAATCTTTCAAAAAGACCATTGAATTCTTCATTGGCTGAGAACTACGTTTTAAAAAGTCTTAAATAGGGCTTTGTTTGCATTGTTTGAGTTCAAGGGGCCTTATTATTGAATGGAATTGCACAAGCCTTTCTTTGTGCAATCAAACCATTGTTATTGGTTGTTCTGTAAAGGAAACTGTAGAATCTAATTGGCAATGGGGTCATAAATCTATTTACTGAGTGTGGCTTCCAAGAAATGTTGCAATTCCAAATGCACTAAGACCATGATTTATTGGAGATTTGGAGATTCCAAAAAATAGTTTTTGAAAAAACTTTTCATGCAACTTCTGATTTAACTTTTGGCAACTCAACATTAAAAAAAAAATAGAGCCCAACCGAGTTTCAGAATTAAGAATTCTGCTAATAAGTGATTTGAACTTGTAATATTTGCCACAGGACTGACTTATTTATCGACTAGCTAGATGCTATTAAGTTCACTTGTTTATCAGGGCATATACAAAGGGTTTGTTAAAACTCAGTGTTGACTTTACGACTTTCTGACCTGGTGCATGAATTCCCAAGTACTGTATTTCACTGTGTTGGTGTGTCTGATGGAAATTTCGAGGTGGTCCCACAAAAATATTTTATGTAGTGTGCCTTCAAAGAGAACCATTTATTTCTCTTCACTTGTTGTCCCACAGAGTCACATTTGGTGGTGGTCAGCCAAGTCCCATCTGGTCTGGTTTTACTCTTGTCCCAATTTCAAAGAGAAATGGGAGTGATTTTGCCCTGGTGAGACCCACACCATTGCAATGATTACCTTGAGCACTTAAACTCCAGTGTTGGCTGTTGATGTATTTGATATTCTGCTTGTCTCCCCATGGTTGAAATATGTCTGAAGAACAGCAGCATAATCTCTTGGCTGTTTATAATTTTTTAAAGGTTCCTGTGTTGTAAATATTGTATACTTTTGGTGATTCCAGCTCTGTAACCTCTATGCTCTGTAAGGTGATTTTTTTGTATATAGCAACATGGCCCAGTGATATTATATAGTTTCCCAATGGAGAGGTTATTGAGTAACCTTTGCATTAGTTTAAACACTACCAGAAGAATGCTGAGCCAACTATAAACACTCAATTTTGTATGTTTTCCAAATTGTACTTATTACTGCTTTTGATACTGTATTACGTGCCAATAGTTTCCCAATCACATAGCAGGCAAGAGATATTTTGTACTTTTTGATCCACTGTAATATTTAATAAAAAATGTTACTATCTGTTTCTTTTTGGGTGTGAGTAGTCTGTCACTTCTTCCTGAGGAGCCCTGTGCCCTCTTCAATGGTCTTGCCATCCCATGCTCACTAAATTGGATTATAGGGGTGATGAGTTTCATTGAGAACCTACTGCATGCTCAACTTGCATACATTATCTCTTATCTTCATAACTTTAGGTATGGCTATGCCCATTTCAGTGATGAGAAAACAAAAGTCTAGGAGAGGTAGATCCACCTGCCCAAGACCATCTGGCTAACAAATGACAGAGCCATGATTTGAATCCAGAGCTCATAAGTCTGAACATTTCCTTTATTTACCTGATTTTCTGCTAGCAAGTCACGAAAGTTGATATTTATTTGGCAGCAAACATTTACTTGTGCCTTAACTGCCAAGCCTAGTGCCCGGAGCTCTAAATACAGTGGTAAGTAAAAGATATTGTCACTAGAGCTTATAAATCTCAGAGGAAAGAGAGTTAATCAGACAGTCACCCCCATACATACAAAACCTCAACATGACCCACTTCTGGGGGAGAGTAGATATTGAGTGAAGTGACACATGAAGAGGAAATGGCGACTAAAATGATCCATGAAAGAGGGGTAAGAATTCACTAAGCCACAGAGAATTGGAAGAAGAGTAATTCAAGCACAGACTACTACATGTGCAAAGGGTCTGGGGCAGGAACAAGTTTGATATTACAGGACCGGGGAAGGGTAGGGAGCCAGTGTGGCATAATTACAGTGTTGAAGGAATGAGGTTAGGTGAGGTTAGAGAGTGTAGCAGGCACCAGCCAGGTAGGTTTCCTACAGACTACCCTAAGCACTTTTATCTTTATCCTAACCAAGATGATTTAGCCAGGGAGGAGGCACTTCAAATTTCTCTCTTTCAAGATTATTCCCTGGCTGCTGTGTGTCGGTAGGCTGAGAACAATCTAACATCAAAGCGGTGGTCTTTTCAGTTAGGGTGGTGGAATGGGAGAGTGGACACATTTCAGAGGAACTTAGAAGGAAGACTGAACCAGACTTGATGATGGAATAAATGGGACGATAAGCTGGGAAGCGAGACAACTTGGGAAAGGTTGAAAATCTACAAAAATACTTTGCATATTCTGAGGTCTGTGTCTTTTAATCATAGACCTGGCGGTGATGGACCAAGATTTCTGATCTTTGCTTCCCTTGATCTTCTGCCTCCAGGTTTCCCCCTGGCTTTGCTCAGCTTCTGGTTCTTTGAAACAATGCATTCACCAAATAGTGCCCTGTTTACTCCCTTTTAATGAGTCCCAGAGATGAGGGACAGGAGATTGGGGCAAAAAAAGTCTCCATACTTTAGAATGGAAAAATACCCATATATTTTGATAAGACATGAGGTCCTTTTTCTCATCTTGATTGACTTCCTGGAGGACACTGCCCACCCCTCTCAGGTCAAAAGGAGCTGCAACCATGTTAGGAGTCTCACCCTCTTGTTGCTGACTGGCACCACATTGTAATCCAGCATTCAGAAGCACAAGTGAGGGCCAGGGAACCCTTGCCCCGCCATTCCCTGGCTCTCACTCTGATTCATGTGTATTTTACCATTTCATGTGAATCACTAGGAATACATCAAAAGCAAATCCTCCCATCTGTGACACATGCAGCATTTGTCGATCTGATACTTGATTCCTGCACAACAGGAAACATCATGATAAGTTATCTATTTTTACCAGGGCTGGCTGGGAAATACTGCTGGGAAGGGCATGCTTTAGCTAAAGATGTCACTCATAGAGCAAAAGCAATGAAAATGCCCAATGATGGATTCTAGGAAAGTGGCCAAAGTGGACAAATGTTTCAGGACTGATAGTGGCCAGGAAATAGGTGATTATTTATGCCAATGGGTACGTTAAGTGGCAGAAGGTAACGGTGGGGTAAGAGGTAACCTCTAGCCAAGAATAATGTGAAAGAAACGTAGCCTTCAAGACTGGCCTAGCGAATCTAGTTAATCACACTCATTCGGGCTTCACTAATTCAGGATTCCTGAATTTTGGAAACTCCAGGATAATTCCAGGATAAACAACTTTCCAAAGTATTTGTCTTACCTGCTTAAAAGAACAAGCCATTTCTCATCAAGCCAGCCATAACCATAAACATTCAGACAGCCTAATAAGAACAAAGGGATCTGTTCCCTGAGGTTCCAATATAAGAACCACTACTACTTGAATTAGTGTTGAAACTCCCTCCAAAACAGAGCTGTCCGATGGGGACTTCCACAGATGGTGGAAATGTTCTACAGTTCAAAGTTGTCCAGTATTGTAATGAACAGCCCAGGGGGCTACTGAGTCCTTGGACTGTGCCTTGGAGCTGACTCTTTAATTCTATTTAATATCTATTTACTTAAATAGCCATCTATACTATACAGCCATTACTATATTGGACAACACAGCTCTAGAAAGTCCAAATGACCAATGTGTGCATAGGGACTGACAGAGTTACAGGTAGGTCAATATCTACACGTAAACTTTAAAGCATACAGCAGTTTTCCTCTTCTTGGAAAAACTTTCTTGATCTTTTAGGAGTAACAATGGATTTAAGATTTTTCCACTCGGATTTACACCTCATATGCATGGAAATACGTACTAAAGGAACAAATAAATCATTGAGCAACCTTTAAGAAAAGTCTACAATTATGACATTTTGTAATCCGGCCCTGCCTTTTATGTTAAATCTGATTGTGTGAGGCTGGAATGCAACTTCCAGAAACTCTGTGAAATGTTACATGTGGCCATGTCCAAGCCACCCTACTTCATTCCATGGTAATTCCACCTGTTTCTATGAAGACCGTGAGAATGTTCAACACAAGGGAGACAACCAGGTGAGGAGACGAGCAGCATGGGCAATCCACAACAAACATGTTTTCAGTGTCTTACTCCTAGTTCTCAAACCTGTCTGTAACTATTTCTCTTGTGCAAATTTATGTAGATAATAACAATAACTAATAACACCAACTGGCAACTCCATCCATGCCAGATACCATTTAAATTGGTTTTTTGTTTTCATCCATTTGATTCTAATGACATCCTACATTATAGATACTGTTGTTGTTCCTGCTTTGCAGTTGGGGAAAACGAGGCACAAGGGAGGCTTTGTGACCAGTCCAAATGAGCAGTGCCTGCCCTAGAGTATCAAAGGACTTTTCCTTCAGCTCCTCCTGCTGTGTGCAGCTTCCCTCCTTCGTCCCCTCCTCAGTCCTGAAATTTAAGAGATCAGCCAAAAATGTTGAACTGCAACATCTTCAGATTGTTTGTAAATTAATGAGGCAAAAAAAGAAAAGATGCCAATAAAAAGTCATTAGGAAAGAAAAATTGTTATAGTTGTCTTTTTTGTTGTTGTTGTTACTCAACAATAGAATTAAGTTTAAAGATTGGAAACTGGAAGAAAGAAGCTGTTTTCTAGACAAAATGTAAATTTAAAAATTTTCCCACAAAGAAAGGTAAAGCTCACAAAATAATTAAAGTTTTTAAGTGTCCGATTAGTACTTAAAAACAATGCAGCCTTGGGGCTGGTGCTGTGGCTTAGCAGGTAAAGCTGCCGCCTGTAGTGCTGACATCCCATATGGGTACTGGTTCAAGACCTGGCTGCTCCACTTCCGATCCAGCTCTCTGCTACGGTCTGGGAAAGCAGTAGAGGATGGCTCAGGTCCTTGGGCCCCTGCACCAACGTGGGAGACCCGGAAGAAGGTCCTGGTTTCTGGCTTCGGATCAGCTCAGCTCCAGCCTTTGCGGCCATTTGGGGAGTGAACCAGCACATGGAAGATCGATATCTCTCCCTCTCTCTCTTTCTCTGCCACTGGCTCTTTGTAACTCAGCCTTTCAAATAAATAAATAAATCATTAAAAAAAAGTCTGCAGTAGTCAAAAATTTCCCCACCAAAAATCTCCCCAGCCAGATGGTCTTAGGAGCTGTTTCGGAGAATTGAAAAAGAGGAAAGAAAGGTTCCCCAGTTCTTTTTATGGTTTTACTTTTACCTCATTACTGAAAATTCAAAACAGTAAAAAAAAGAAAAAATATAGACTAATCTAACTTTTTTACTATTATTATTATTTATTTGAAAGTCAGAGTTACACAGAGAGAGAAAGAGAGGCAGAGAGCGAGAGGTCTTCCATCCACTGGGTCACTCCCCAGATGGCCACAACGGCCAGAGCTGCGCCGATCCGAAGCCAGGAGCCAAGAGCTTCTTCTGGGTCTCCCGCGTGGGTGCAGGGCCATCCTCCACTGCCCTCCCGGGCCACAGCAGAGAGCTGGAATGGAAGAGGAGCAACCGGGACAGAACCGGCACCCATATGGGATGCTGGCGCTTCAGGCCAGGGCTTTACGCTATTGCTCCACAGCACCGGCCTCAACCAATCTAACTTTTAAACCAGGTGTATAAATAGTAAGTAAAGTACTAGTAAATTATAAAAGTATATGTATTTAACACAGTATTTAACACAGATATTTATACATACATGTTCATACATATACTAAAATAACATATATATTTGAAATATACAAAAATAATATTGTATACTGACCAAGAAGAGTTTATTCTAGAAATATAAATATGGTGAATATTAAAAATTCTACTAATGAAATCACATGTGAAAGCTATCTGGAAAAAAAAAATTGGATCCATACCTGAAACAAAACACAAATGAATCCCAAATGGATTACAGATTTAAATATATAAAATCAAACCATGAAAAAATGTTGAAGAAAACACCGGAGAAGTTGTTTATAACCTTGAAACTGGAAAAGCAATTCTAACCACAAATCAAAACTTAGAAATTATAAAAAGTTGATAATTTATTTACACGAAAGTAACATTTCTATAGGCCGAAAATATAAATTTACTTTGGGAATAAATATTTGCAATTACTATCACAAAGAGCTCATCTCTCTAAAATATAAAGAGCTCCTAGAAATCAGAAAAAATGGGCAAAGATAGTAAGATATAAATAAATATATATAAAAAAAAGACATAAATAAATATAAAGATATAA